TTCCCTATGCATGTTTAAACCTGAGAAAAGAAGGTTTTAAACTATTTGGGAAGTAGTATTGGATTTAATTGTCTATAGTTCATCATTTAACTTATGTTCATATTTTCACTGTGACTATATCCAGTAATTTTAAATGGATCAGAAAATATAGTGAACATTAATTCAGCAAATATATATTTAGCACCTGTTTGTCCATTGACTGCCTAATCAAGTAGTAGAGAAATAAGTGCAGTATTCTTTTGTCCCATCAGTTTCATACCACATTACCAAATTTATCAAAAATGTTGGGGGGAGTTATGCAGTAACAGAGGTAGTTAAATGCTGCAAAAGGTGTAGGGGAGAATAAGGTCTAGAAATATGAGTACTTTTTTGCATATGTTTGAGAGAAATTTAAATTGTGGTAACAGATATAATTACTATTTGAGATATGGATCAATTTTATTTTTTTATGGGGGGAGTGGCATTTAAAGTTGAGATTAGGATTTCAGCTCTCATTTCTATCTGTGATTTTTTATTTTTTATTCTTAAACTACTGAATATATGGACTAAAATATCCAAATAGCATATTTCTTTTTAAATGTTTATTTACTCAAAGTGTTTGATATTGAAAATAGTATCAGTTTTACTCTAAATTGACCTACCTGATGACCTGCTCATTTGTTTTGAACTAGTGGAAATATTAATAGGGTGTCTAAATGGAAAGCTAACCACATTTTTTTGCTTCTTAGATCAAAGGGATTATATCTGTGAGTATTGTGCTCGGGCCTTCAAGAGTTCCCACAATCTGGCAGTGCACAGGATGATTCACACTGGCGAGAAGCCATTACAGTGAGTATTTACTGGCAAACATCTGGATGAGAAGTGCGTACACTCCACATGAGTATTTTCCTCTTACCAACATCTCTCCTGCCACTTTTATTAGCTTTTGTCAAATTAAAGAGTGGGAATTGTTTAGGGCAGCTACTTAGTGACCTTTTTCTTCGTTTTACTTATTTTTCAAGTAAACAAAAGAAAAAAATTGTATTTTCACCTAGTTGTTTCCACATCCTTCACTAGCAGTATATGTTACTGATTATTTGATATATGCTCTAAATTCTCACCTAACTTTTAAGTAAGAACTTCGTTTCTCTTAATCGCACATTTTATCTTCCACTCCCCTTAGATGTGAGATCTGTGGATTTACTTGTCGACAAAAGGCATCCCTTAATTGGCACATGAAGAAGCATGATGCAGACTCCTTCTACCAGTTTTCTTGCAATATCTGTGGCAAAAAATTTGAGAAGAAGGACAGCGTAGTGGCACACAAAGCAAAAAGCCACCCTGAGGTGCTGATTGCAGAAGCTCTGGCTGCCAATGCAGGCGCCCTCATCACCAGCACAGATATCCTGGGCACTAACCCAGAGTCCCTGACACAACCTGCAGATGGTCAGGGTCTTCCTCTTCTTCCTGAGCCCTTGGGAAATTCAACTTCTGGAGAGTGCCTGCTGCTAGAAGCTGAAGGGATGTCAAAGTCGTACTGCAGTGGGACAGAACGGGTGAGCCTGATGGCTGATGGAAAGATCTTTGTGGGAAGTGGCAGCAGTGGGGGCACTGAAGGGCTGGTCATGAACTCGGATATTCTCGGTGCTACCACAGAGGTTCTGATTGAAGATTCAGACTCTACTGGACCTTAGTGGAAAGGAAGACTTTGGACACTGGGACAGTTCAGACTTTGTATTTAAAAGATAAAAAGGACAAAAAAAATTTAAAGCATTTAAAATCTAGTAAAATAACTGAAGGGCCTGCTCTTTCCATTGTGGATCACAGCACACACAAACCCCATCCCAAGAGCTCCCTCTGTTCTCCCTCTTATAAAATTGATGTTGCCTTTAAGAGAAAGGTAGACAAAAAGCAGCAGCAGCTCTAAAAGTGAGGGTTAATCCTCATACTCGGTTCCAGCCAGCAGCAGACTTCTGCTCCATTGGCAGATCCCCTTTCCAACCCGTAACTCTGATGTGCTCTGGATCAGCTTTTGACTCAATAGTATACTACTGTCCTTTCAATCCTATCTTCTCTTCCACTGCTGCCCTATGGTTCTGGCTTCTACCCACTGCAACACACTTATCCTCAAATACTATATAATTCTAATCTCTGGAGGCTGGCAGCTTGACTTGGCACTTTAGGGCCCCTTAACAGGATGTGCTGTTAAAACAGCACATGTTTCTCACCCCTCTTTCTCCATTCCCTACTGGGTTTTGGAAAGGAAGGATACATGTGGACCACCTCCCTCCTCTTTGATCCCAGCACCTCATTCCCCCTCCCAAACCTTCATATGGCTCTTAATGGTGCTTATTTGCTTGGAAGCAGGCTCCCAAGAGGGAGGGGGCTGCCCTCTACACAGTCTTTTTGACTGTAAGATAGGGCTGTGTATTAGTGAGACAGTGAGAAAAGTCCCAGGCTAATGGCAGAAATTTGCACTTTGAACATGTGTGTTTTTGTGTTGTGGAACCTGAGATTCCTTATTTATTAATGGAAAGTCTGATTTTTTTGGGGGGGAGGGTCTTCGTTGCTATATTTTGTGGGGCTGGGAGAGATTAGATTATTCTGACATGGGATCCTTTCCACAAGAGGTACTTTGAAGGCAAGGCATAGGGTTGAAAAGCACAGCCAGCCTCTAAAATCATAGCTCTCCAGTGGCCTTTAAAGAAAGCTGGTCCTCAGCACTAACAAAATCACTACAATAGCCTAGTGCTTTTTTTGGAAGCCTTCTTAGGGAAGGATAATGGGTTTGTGGTAACCAATGTGGCTCTTTGAGATTTTAAGAGCATTGAGATTTAAGGAATTTTGAGGGGATGAGGATGGTTGTTCAGGTCTGAATTACAGATATGAGATTTTTTTTTTTCTTGTGAATTTCCTTTTGTCTCTATCATTTCCTTTTATATATCACCCTTCTTGCCTGTTGGTTGTTTTGGGKTTTTTTTTTTGTTTGTTTTGTTTTTTGCTTTGCTTTATCATTGGTTTGCGGCAGCTCCCTATTAGACACTGTTAGAGAAAGAACAAAGTGTAAGAGTCCTAAATAAGTCAAAGAAAACTGCTGATTTGTTTCTCTTTTAGTAACACCTCAGAAAAGACTTCAGTAGACAAAGTTAGGCTATATGATAATGGCTTTGGTTTTCACCTGAAGTTCTGGAAATTACCACTTCCCTTCAGATAGATTTTCATGGGGTGTGGATTGCTTATTACTATACATGGGCGTTTTTGTACAAGCTTGTAACTTTCAAAAGACTAAAAACTTATTTTATTTTGACTGATTTTTAGAGTCTTAGAAGGGCAATTCCTATCCTATGTACCTCAGAAGCCAGAATTGAAAACTTACCCTATTTGTTTATTGTCAGAAATGTGTTATGGCTGTTGGAAAGAATGAAGTTTTGCTGAGAACAAAATAAGGAACAACTTGTTTTTCACAAACACTAAAACTACCAAATTTGTCAGTTTTCTCTTTGATTTATTTTTTCCAAAAGGGGGGTAACAATGTCATCTCTGAAAGAGGCTTACTGTACACCCACTAGTGTCGGTGGTTGGGATGCCAGGGAATAGGGAGTGAGACACCTACAGTAAATAGTCTTAAATGCACTATTGTTTCAGACTGTTGCAGATCTGCCATCTCTCCAATGTGAGGGTAGAACATGGAATAAGGATAGAAGGGATACAGAAAAGATAGAAGGGATGCAGAATATGCTTTCCTGCCCATGGGGAGGGGTTTGCAGTTTTAATTTGGTATGTTGAGTAGATTTGAAAATACTAAGATGGATTGAGTGGGTCTACAACAAAGTTCCGTTTTATACTGTTTCACTAACTAGCATCTATATCCCACACTTACCTTTTTGTCTTTGTCACACCTAGACTTTGTCTTCATGAACTTCACTTGCACTGGTTAGTCATCAGATATTTTAGCCACCTATACAAAAGCAAACTGCATTAAGGGGGGGAAAGGCACTTCTCTGGGATGGGGGAATATGTTCTCCTTTGTATCACACTCCCCTCCCCATAAAAAGCAACTAGTTAGTTCCAGTTGGAAACTCCTATCCTTCCCCTTTGTTGGGGGTGGGAGTCCTCTTTCTCAGCTACCACTTGCTGACAATAAATTATTGTAGCAGTTTGCAATAAATTTTAAAATATTTTTCATGGAGTTTATATTTTTCCTTTTGAGAAAGGAATGCTAGCATAGTAAAGAGTCTATATAAGTAAACTATCTAAGCCCCATTTATGTTCTGCTCCCCCTGCCATTGTTTATTTCATTGTCTTTCCAAGGAGCTCTTTCAATCTTGAAAATCTGTATTTCATATTCTTTATTAGTCTGATTTTGTTACCTTTTTAATAACTTGCCACGTCATGTTCTCCAGCTTGAATTGGCATTTCTAAATTCTGATAATGTCATTGAGATGTCACTATTCGGTATTTCTAGAAGATGTACTTCTCCCTTGCTTGTGATTGCCCAGGGTTATTTTGAACAATCTTAATATGTTTCAGACAGTTTAGATACTGACTGGGAGTACTGGGAATAAGAAAATTATTTAGGATAGAAAGCATCCACATAGAGCACTTGAACCTCCTTTGTACCTTTTTGGAGGGAAAAAAAATCATAAAATATACTACCAACCTAAATAAGATTATTACAGTCTCATTGTTTGCAGTACCATTTTTCCTCCTGTCTTTCCCACTTTCCAATGTACTCAAGAAAATTGAAAAATTGTAATGGATCAATTGAAAATTTTTATTTCCTGAAAGCCTTTTTTGCCTATTGTAATGTGCAGGACCCTTCTCCTTTGATGAAAGAGATGGGTAGTTAAGATACCTGAATCTAGGTTGAAAAGGTTGTGTAAAAAGAAATTATAATAAAAGGGATACTTTGCTTTTCAGATCCTTGTTTTCTCTTCACCTAGGTAAGGCATACCCACAACAAGTATGTAAAGAAGAAAATAAAAGTTGTCCTCCTGGAAGCAACTTGTCTTCCTTGGTTCTACTGAGTTAAGTTATCCTATGGGTGAAACAATTGCTGCTAAATGAGAAAACAGTGCTCTTGGCACATTTCATATTCAGTGTACCATTGTTTGCTGGTACACAACTGATTGCTTTTTCTGAGAATCAGGCACTTAACATTTGACTCAGTTTAGCTCTTGATGTTTAATGCTGGAATGCCATGTGATTCAGTTATCAACAAATTTAGAAACTTCTTTGATAGTAGCTTTCCACTAGAAAAAGTAGCCCTATATTGACCTAATAGTGGGGACATTAAGGTTGCTGTGAGATCATTAAATCACTCTAATGATGATTTAAAAAAACAAAAATCCTTAATAGCATATTACACCAATGCTTCACAAGACCCGATATCTGTGTGGAGTCCTAACTCTTAACAATAGACACACAAAACTATAATACTCTATAAACAGTCCCACTATAACAGCTTGGCTGGCCTCAAATTTTCCCCCATTACATCTCTATTTATATTGTTAATCTATGTAAATTTGCTCCTGAAATAGTGTGCATTTCAACTCATTGCTAGCATCTGCAGTATGAAATAGTGAAAGCTAGTCAGTCCATTTGGGGATGAAACTTTTGAGACTATCCAATTAGCATTATCCTGAGTTAAATGCAATACTCTCCAAGCACCTTCTAAATCTCCTGTCCTCATTTCAAAGCCCAGCACATTCTCTTATTTTKTTAAGCATGTGGTATGACTGGGACAGGGAAGAAGAAAAAGCATGTTGTCACTTGAGTGAGACTACCTAAGAAATGTTACCAGGTTGGGGTTRGGTGTTTCCTCTGGAAGAGAACAGGCCTAAACAGTACCTTCTACATCTGTGGCTACCATGTTTGAGATCAGAGATACTTCCTTAGTTGATTTTTTAACCAAGTATAAATTAAAAAATACCAAAAGGATCAAAAGTGAAAAGATGTTGCATTTTTAAAGAACTTATTTCACATTACCTTTCCTTGTACAAAATGAACTATCTATAAAGAATTGGAAAGTCAGTGAACAAAACAATTGTAGAACCAAAGACATCTACATAAATTTTAGCGTAGTTTATTGTAGATTTTGTGCATGTTATTTAATGTCTTAAAGCTTAGTTTCTTAGGACAGCTAGTATTTACCCCAGAATTACTCTAAGGATCAATGAAGTTGTTTTAAAGCCTTTAGCAGAGTGTCTAACCCTTGGTAGGTATTTGATAAATGGCATCTACATGAATAATAATATTTTTTGGCCACTTAATCAGGCCAAGAAAAGAAAAAGACATGGGGAGCATAAGGGAGGATGATGATATAGTGAGCTTGATTTTAATCATATAAAATAAGATTACATTAGGCAGGGATGTCCTGAGGATTAGTGTGATAGTGACTTTGTTGCTAAGTACATAAAGCAAAACAATGACATAAAAACAAGTGTGCTAAGTACTGAGTGGAGGAGAGACATGGAGGCAGACGCTGCAGGGGAAAAAAAAAAAGGCTGATTAAAAAGGGCCCTTTGATTCCACAGGCACAAAAATCCACAGCCAGGAATTTGCTGCCACCTCTGAGTCAGGCAGGGGGTGGGGGTGCACAATCCCATTAGAGAATGCCCAGTGGATTTAGTCTGTGAGAGTCACATTTCTTATTTGGACCAGTGTAGACAGAAGCAAACCCAGCTCACTTGTTTCTTGGGACAGTTAGGGGATGGCTTTTGCAGAGCATTCACCACGGACCCCTTGCCGACGGGACCTCTGTAGCCGTTCCATCTGGCTAGCAAGGAAGATTCGTTCAGACCTGACTGCCCTTATGGAATCTTATGTAAGTCGTCTATTTTCCCATCATGTCTTCTGACCCAGCTCCTTAACATCATATTCCAGACCCACAACCAATTATGAAAGCCCTAATCACAGTCATTCATGTATTGGATGCCTATTATATGACATGGCCCTTTCTAAGCTCATGTGAGCTTATTACTGCCTTCCTCCATGATGCTTACGAGTCATGTTCCTTGAATGAGAAAATATATATGGTGGTGTAGGTAGGATTGGCTCTGTGTCTTGAAGGCTGTTCCTAATTGGCCTGTATTCTGAATTCTTCCAGAATAGATTAACCTTGGGCCCTCTAAGTTTGTGTACTTCACAGGCATTGTTATAAATTTTTGAGCTGTGTAAATGAAAGGTTTATATGATTAGGCGGAAGAACAGTATGAATATGGAAGAAATTTTTAAATCCAAACAATACCTATATAATATTAGCCACCCACTTTTCAGTACTACACACCTAAAGTGTCCTAGTATCTGAGTGAAAAAATAAACTATCAAAATAAACCCCTGGAAGACTCCTGGGAAACTTGTGAAATTGTCAAATTCTAAAGGTGTTCTGGGCTGGTTTGCTGATATAGGGGATCCCTATCAGTCTCCACCTTAGGTTTACCTTGGAAATACTCCAGACCATTGTGGAAAGTTCTGGATTTTTGTTCTCTGAGAATTGGTTTATCTTTGAACAACCTTGTCAGTTAGAAATTAGACTCTGATTACCTTTTCTTTTGAAAAAAGTAAAAATGTAATTCCTCTTTTTTTTTTTTTTTTTTAAGAATTGATCTCACATTCAGAGTGGGCAGTGGGAATAAAGAGATTAGGAGATTCTAAAATAGCTACTTTAGGGTTTCCTAGATTTGGCTAGTGTCTTCATGTATGTTTAAAATACTTGAACTCTCCAGTATAATTAAATATTTCAGTTTCTAGAAAAGAGTGGAAAATCTTCTAAATTAGTAGTGTATTTCACCCACTAGAACTTAATGAAAGCAAAACATTCTTCCAGGAAAAATGCAGATATTCCATATTGGATCTTCTAAAGTCCAGTTATGAATCCTGAGTAGAGTTTCTGTTCTGGACATTTTATTTTCTTTACAACTTGGATCCTTGACCAATGAGGTAAATGAGGTTTCATATGTGTTAAATAATATTGTTGAGGTGATCACAGCAGATTATGCCATGTTTCCTGTGACTTTGGGCAGGTGAAGCATCAGGGCCTGAACAAGAATGTCAACCTGGACTCTGTGGATGGTGTGCCCGTAGCAAGCACTGATCAGTGGAGTGAGCTGACAGAGGCAGAGAGACTCCAAGAGAACCTCCAAGCTTACCGTACCTTCCATGTTATGTTGGCCAGGCTTTTAGAAGACCAGCAGGTACATTTTACTCCAACCCAAGGTGACTTCCATCAAGCCATACATACCATTCTGCTCCAAGTTTCGGCCTTCACCTACCAGTTAGAGGAGTTAATGGTGCTCCTGGAGCACAAAATCCCCCCAAATGAGTCTGACGGGATGCCAGTTGTTGGAGATGGTGGTCTCTTTGAGAAGAAGCTGTGGGGCCTAAAGGTGCTGCGAGAGCTTTCACAGTGGACCGTGAGGTCTATCCATGACCTTCGTGTCATTTCTTCCCATCAGATGGGGATCCCAGCACATGAGAGCCAATATGTTGCTAAGGACAAGAAGATGTAGCAGTTAGCCTTCTCTGTCTTCCTTGCTCTCTGTTCTGATGGAATATACATAGTTTTCTGGGGCCTCGTTTTCCCATCTTCAGTTTTTGAAAACTTTTTTAAGACCACAAGCATTTCCGTCAAGTAGGATTGGAGACACAGACAAATGGGTAGAGAGGTTTACATAGCTTGGGGTGTGGGTGTGGGTGTAAGACAATGGGAGCAGGGACAGCATCCTTCCACCTTAGTGTTCTAACCATTCTACCCACTAAGTAACCTTTACCATTGTTTAACAACATTACAGATAGAAGAGAGAAATATCTCAAACTCTAGTTCTGGAAGATTTCTGAGAAGACTAAACCAATGAATGGACTCTGTACAGTCATTCATACTCTTAGATAATAAAAATAATAATAGCCAACACTTACGGAGTCGCTGCTGTATTAAGGCAGTGAACCAGAGGTCTTACATATGTTATGTATAACCTGTACAGCAACTCGTGAGGAAGGTGGTGTCATTCATCTCTGATGAAAAAACAAGCTCACAGAGACCATTAAGGTCATGCAGTGCCAAGTGACATACTAAGTTTGAACCCAGATCCTCACTGTAAAGCCGATGTACTTTTTACTTTAAAGGCTTGATTATGAAACTGTCACTGACCTTCTGTCTTAGAGGGTTGGAAGGTGTAATCATCTATGTACAGTATCCTCCGCACTAAAGAAGCCCTTACACACTCTCATAAGTCAGCTGTTTAGTGTTAAAGGCAATATTCRTTGCCCATGCTTAGCAAAGAAGAGAAAAGCTGGAGATCGTAGAGCCCATTTCAAAGATGAGGCCTACAAGACTTCTGAACCTTAGCAGTTGAAAATGTGCAGTGATACAGCCTGGTTGAAAGTGTCTGCTGATGTTCTTGGATATTGGGTTGGGCACAGTCTATACCAGCTTACTTCACATTCACTATAATTGGCAATCCAGGGATATAGATCCAAGCATTTGTAGATGATGGGTGGAATTCTACCCAAGTTAAAAAGTCACAGGACTGTCACTTCACATTCTCTGAACTTAGTCATGAGGAGAGGGTGAGGCCCGCTTTTCCAACTGGGAATRCCAGAGAGTCTGCAACAATATACAGCAAAGGCTCCAGGGGATGAAAAGCCAGTAAGTATGGACACGAATGGAAAAGGCAAGGCCCATGTTCTAATGGTGCATATGTGATAGGTAACATTTAACTTGTCATTAAAACCCAAGATCTTAGATGGGGGACCTCAATTTTATTAGTCAAGGTGTCTTTACTCTTAAGTGAACCGTGAGTCAGAAGGGCCTAGCTCCCATTAGGTCACTTGAGGTGAGGATGGGTGACTTGACTTGTATCCTTCCCCACGTGGGTTCATGTCCAAATTCCATGAAGTCAATGTTGTGAAAGTTCAAGGGAAGTAAGTCTCTGCCTTCTTAGAATGCATTTATGGAAATATGGGTGTACGTGTGTGTAAAAGATCAATAGTAGGTTGGAATTACAATCCCTGGGTTTAAGTATTGGGGAAATCAGTGAAGGCCAGAAATAGTTTCCAGGGGGAAACAGGAGTTGTGTCACAGAGGTTGGCTGAGTACAAATAGGAAGAAATCATAAAGAAGGAAACCGAGGAGTTGACTGCTAGAAAAAAACTTGGGCAATAATAAACATTGGGGCCCTGGCTGCCAGCAGAGGCATGTTGGTTTTATTTAATTGGTAATATGGGTATAGATACATAGTTACCCAATATATGTTGTTTGTTTCATTCAAGCTTTTCCTAATTTAAATGGTTTCTTCTGCCTACCAGCAGCATTTTCAACTAATAATATATCTGYTTGCTTTGTAAAGCTCTTAGATTTATGCAGATGATCCATTTGCTTAATAAAAGTGTGAATAAAATTTCTTTATGGGGGAATAACTGATCGTAAACTTTCTGGATATAAAATAAGTGACCCTTTTCCAAGTGTTTTTATCGTCAGCAGATGTGACAGAGTGGACATCTGCAGAAGTGTCAGAAACCAGCAGAGCTTGGTTTAAGTTCTGCTCAGTGGCCTCTGGAGGAATATTTATGTATAAGAGGCAGATTTGAAATGGCAGCAGGTCTGGGAAAGGTACAAGCTTTAACTCTGAGGACATAGCAGCCTATCTATATTTCAGTCAGCTCACAGAAGCAGGAAATCTTTACCAAGTGCATTTCTCAGCACTGTGCTAAGAGCTGGGTATTAGTTTCTCCTTCAAGAAACTTCTAAGTGCCTGAAGAGAGAAGCATGGAGAAACCCCTTAGAAAAAGACAAAGGGAAAATGAGTACTTAGCCATGTAACAAAAGCAAACACTCATGAGATCTAAATGTTAAGCATTGCATTGTGTTTACCTGAAATGGATAAGTCAAATTGAATAAGGTACTGACAATGGGCCATTCATTGGTCCATTATTCTAGGTGTGTATTTTATGATATTGATAAGAGATAACAACTACGCTGCATGAGGAGAGGGCCTCACYCTCTCCTCATGACTAAGTTCAGAGAATGTACATAAGTTTTAAGGATCCACAATCCAAAAGAGATTTTTGTTCTTTAGATTTTATTCCCTTGTTTCTTAGATCTCTATGTGGATAGAATATCTGGGAAAATCAATTGATATAACTATATAGAGTTATAGTTATGATGTGCATTAAATTTAGCTCCAAGCCTGTATTTCCACAGCCACCGGAAAGTCCTCTCTGCAGGGAGAGATTGTTKTCCTGAGTCCATCAAGGAATTGCATGCATGAGAGCTGATAAATTTTTCTTACATTAAAAAGGTTATTTGAGAAAGGCTTGCAAAATTAGCACAAACCTGATGGTCAAGCATTGAATAACATTAGTTTTAAGATAATCAGGTACAAGGGAAGTGAGAGTTTTAATAAAAGTGGAAAGCCATAGCCCTGACATTGCTGTTATTTTGGGCTGCTATGGATGAAAGCCCAATGGATGACTCATTGTGACCACTGGTCAGATAGGGAGAGAACAAGTATTTCAGGGTGACATATCTGAAAAGTGGTTTGAAATGACTTTTGCTTCTGAATCCCCATCTCCTCACTGGGTACCCAAGCATCGTCTCTCTCTATAAAAGAGTAAAAGATGTAGGAAGAGAAAGACCTCCACCAGAATGGGGAAGGGATTGGTGAAGAGGAAGGGGAGGGAGTAGAATCTAGACTTGATTTCAGCTGATATGTGTGTGTGTGTGTGTGTGTGTGTGTGTGTGTGTGTGTGTTTTCATATGATACCAATGTGGTGTTTAGTGCAGGGCATTTTTTTTTAAAGGAATAATTTGACCTCCCCCCTCATCTCAACCTCCACCTCAAGCCTCAGACTTAAGAATGAATCCTCTGAATGTTGGACAGTTAAAAAGGGAAAAGTGGTAAAAAACTTGACCTCAGCACAAAAACTTCAATAGAACTCAGGATTACAGATAAAAACCAAGCAAAAAAATAATTTGACTATTTGATGAAATGTGTATGGGGTGTGAAAAACCTGTCTGCTTTGTAATTCATGACATAAAATATATATCTCAAGTCAATCTATTTTTAGCACATAGGAAATAAAAGATGCAAGAATGGCTAACAATAAAGTTCTCTTCTCAGCAAGACCATGAGTAGCTTCTTTTATTTCTGTGTCTTTGGATGAACAAGGGGAATTTCAAGTGATTTCAACATTGGATGAAATGTAATCCTCCCAGCCAGGGCCAGGCTCAATGAAGCGTGCTGGGTAAATCTCCATGATGCCAGGCCACTGGGCAAAATTCCCAGGCCCAGTCAACCTAGAAAAGGTTGATTGGCCCTACACCATCAGACAATGCTGCTTTTCCTTTGGATAATGCAGTCCTATCAACTAGCCTGCAAATGAGGATTTCCTTGTATGTAGTTTAATTTCAAATATATGATCCCCAGTCTAATCTTTGACTGAAAGAAAAAACCCTTGCATAGCCCATGTCTTGTTAGTTCAGAAGTAGAAATTGTGGAAAATCACATAGGGAAAAATTTGAAAAGTTGCTGATTTTGTATTTCTATCCACATAGTCAAGATGGTATGAGGGCTGGGATTGTAACTCAGTGATAGAGCGCTTACTGAGCGTGTGTGAGGCACTGGGTTTGATCCTCAGCACCACATAAAATAAATAAAGGTATTGTGTCCATTTACAACTAAAATTTTTTTTTTAAAAAAAAGATAGTATGAAAGGATCATGCATTTATTTATCACATTAGGCAGCTCTGTGCCATTTAATCCTTAGAGATGCTACCTCCCCCAAATGAGGGAAATGACCATGAGCATCAATTTGCCCAAGTTCATTCCTCTAGCGTTTGACAGAATGAAATTCTAATACTGGCTTCAAAGTTCACCCTATGACATGGGACACGTAGGAAGCAAGCTCATCTGACTCTAAAATCCATCCTCTGTCTTGGGAATTCAGTTTTCCTTAGATAAAGATAGTGCAGACTTGTGTTAAACCTTGCTCTGTAACAAAGTAGGTAAGTTTCCAAACTGAGACAGGTCTGAGTTTCCTCATTCGTGGAATGGAAATGATTACAAATAACTAGCTTCCCAGTTGTTACATAGTTCAGACAAATTAAGTACCTGAAACAACTTATAAATGACACACAAACGTCAAGTCTATTTCATGTCTCAAGTAACCTGGATTCAGGTTAGACTGGATTGAGGAGTGGGCTCAATAGAGAATGCCATTTGCTTCCCAGGATGGACCTGGCCATAGCCTAGACTTTGCCCTGTTGGCCTTTGGTCAGTCTCACAGTCTCCAGGAATCATCCCCCTTCTTGGAAAGTTGAGGCCCAGGCAGTTCACTGAATCCAGAAGATGGCTTTCACAGTAGGTGGGGTCAGACAAGTCCTGGAAAAGCCTGGCAGRCTCTCGAGAGAGCCAAAGAAACAAGCAAACCCCTGTGTTTAGACCTAGATTCATCCATGTATTCAACATCCTCCACTTAATACAGGAAGGAAAATAAACTTCATTTAATTCAATTTCTTCATTAAACAATACAAAGAGTCCAAAGAAGTTGGACATCTGCCCAGGTTTTCTGGCTRGAAAGTGGAAGAATGAGAATTGCAGTATAAGTCTGTGGTTCCCCGATTGCACGCCCACACTTCTTTAAACTGACTGCACAGGAATCATCTTGTATCTCTATTTATGTCCTTGCTCTCTGGCATCCAATGCCTTCTTGCTACCTTACCTCTAATGAGTCTTTGGAAGCTTTAAGACTCCAGAGCTCCAAACCCTTTGGAATCCTTCAGCKCTCTAGCAACTCATGACCCAAACTTCTTTTGCATCCCCAAATCTCACCTGTACCCTAAGCTGATGGTACTATATCCCATACCTCACCTGGTATGATGGAGAAGAGGGACACATTCTGAGGTAATGGCTAAATATGCTATTCCTTCTAGGGTATGTGTCATTTGAAGAAAGCCCCCAGGGAAGATGTAAAATAATAATAATAATAATAATATGCTGAGGCAGGGTCTTCAGATCAGATCAACTTTTATGCCACACCAATAAGCAAAGGGTTAGGACTAGTTTCTTTTCTTACCTAACAATTCCTGACCCCTGTACCCAAAGCTTGAGGTGGCAGAGGGTTGGGGTTATAAAAATATTAACTTGAGAGGTCACTGGACAAAAAGCCCAGTATTCCCAATCTGATTCTAAACTCTAAAGCTCAATCTTTTGGAAGTTTGCCTTCCTCACTCTAACCAAATTAATCAGAAATACATATCGACACCTACTTTGAGCCAATACTAAGAATACAGAAATAAATAATAATGATATTATAAGCCCACGGTGCACAAATGATGGAGGCAGGAGATGGGAAACAACCCTTGGATCAGCAAGCTTTCCTTTATTCTGCAGAGAAGWCAATCCATCTGGCTTGGGAGAGCTCATTTTCTGGGTATGGGAAATGGTCCCCAGGTTACAGAAGGAGTCTGGACTTWATAGTTTACAATGASGGTGAATTAATCATTGGAGACTGCGGTCATGCAGTTTGGACAGTCATGACTGAATTTTGCAGGTTAAAATTGTAACTCAGGAAGGGAGTTGTAAAAAGTTTGAAACTTATTGTCACTGGGAAAAGCTCACAATCTGGTGTTCACTTAGCTCTGGGGGCTCATTGTTACCCAGGACTTCACTATTTGCTCTTCTCCTTCCGGGACTCATTGGCAATGGGAAAGGGTGAAAGTCCAGGACCCAGTGTTTTGGTATTCACCTCCTCCCTTCACAACCCATTGTGGTTGGGAAGGAGTAAATATTTTTTGCCGCAGTCTGGCTGGGCAAACTAACTGGGGGGTGACAAGCAACTTGTGAAGGTTGATACAGCGGGAGCCGCTTTATTATGGGACAGAGAAGTATATATACCCAACTAATTACACACAGCTTAACTTAATTAACATAAACTAGATACAGCAATCAACCAATAAGGAATCCTCATCATCTTAATAATTATACACAGSTTAACTTAATTGACATAATCTAGACACAGCAGTCAATCATTAAGGAATCTCCATCATCTTAATGGCTGGCTGGCGTTACTTCTCAAACCACTCCTCCTGGCAAAGTGCCAGGCGCCATCTTGACTTGTCTGTGGCCCTCAACAATTTATTTTTGGTGGAGATGCTGGGGATGAACCTGGGATGGGATGAAAGTTTGCTTTTTCCCTCTGGGACCATTATTACTGGGAAAGGATGTACTAGAAGAGGTTTAATGCTTGGCTAATTTCCCTTCCCCCCTCCTGAGTTACACTGTCCCTCCATTTTTCCCAGGGAGCTGTCTTGTAGGAATATTATTTTCTATAACCCTTCAGATATTGGCATAATGTGGTCAATTTCATCCACAGTTCCTTTTCTTTTTCTTTCCTCCCCTATCACCTTTGATTCCCTTTCTCTTCTACTGTTCTCATTTCTACTTTCTCATTTTTTTTTATATTCCTTACTTATTTCTAGCTTCTACATATAAGAGAAGACATTCAACCCTTGGCTATCTGAGTCAGGCTTATTTCACTTAGAATGATGTTCTCTGGTTCCACCCATTTACCAGCAAATGCCATTCTTCCTTATGGCTGAGTAGAACTCTGTTGTGTGTGTGTGTGTGTGTGTGTGTGTGTGTGTGTGTATCATGTTTTCTTTACCAATTTGCACTAATAAAAAAAAGAAAAGAAAAATGATAAGGTGCAAGAAAACGATACTAGCAAATATGCATACAGTATTTATTATGTGCCAGGCATTRTTCTAATTACTTTATGTGTATTAATTACATATTCCTCACAAGAACCCTGTGAGGCCGGTGTGAAGATTCTTTTCTACAAATAAAGACATGTACTYGAAACACAGCCTCTTGGAAAAACTACAGGTGCACAACCAACTCTGGTTTGTAGTTGATATGGATGACAAGGAGCGGTGGGGGCACAAAGGACGGAAGGAAAGAGAAAGCACTTCTTCAAAGAGGCAGTTTGGAAGTCCCGGACTGAATTGTGCAGGTTAAAATTGTGCAGGTCAGGGAGGGGCAGGCAAGAACTTTGCAATTAGAAGCAGCAGGACTAGTCCGGGCTTGGCTACTGGAAGGCATGGGGCATGTTGGGGACCATTTGACATTACCAAATCTCAGGGTTCTTTGAGCGCGACAGTAGAAGACAAGACTGGAGGAGGGGGMCAGGACACCTTGAGGAGAGGATCATTGAAAGGAATTTGAAGATGSGGTGTATTGGGATCAACCCTCTGTTCTAGAAAACATAAGAAGCATGAAGAAGATGCTAGAGTTCATCTATTCCTCCCATGGGTCAGTCACCTTATATCAGAGAAAACATTTGGCATTTGTTTTTTGGGGATTAGCTAACTTCAGTTAGCATTATCTTCTCCAATGCCACCCATTTATCTGCAAAGGCCATGATTCTATTCTCTTTTATTGCTGAGTAAAATTCCATTGTGTATATATGCCCCATTTTTTTAACCCATTCATCTACTGAGGGGCATTTAGGGTGGTTCCACAGTTTAGCTATTGTGAATTGTGCAGCTATACTATACTAGCATGTCCCTGTAACATGCTGTTTTTAAGTCCTTTGGGTATAGACGGAGGAGAGGGATAGCTGGGTCAAATGGTGGTTCCATTCCCGGTTTAAAGAAGATGCTAGATAATGCTCAAGGTAAGCTATGTTTTATATTTCTAGAAATGCTGGAGGCACCAGGATACAGAGATGGGCATGACATGGTCCCTGGCCTTTTGAAATTTGTATCCAGGTGGAAAAAAAAAAAAAAAAAAACATGCCACACACAGTCGTGTGATTTGGAGAGTGAAAAGAATGAAGTAGAAAATCAAAAGTGGGATGGAGAACGACAGAGAGTAGTAGCCAGGAAGGCAAAGAGTGGGAAGCCGAGAGGGACAGTCTTCTGGGACCTGGACCCTCCACCCAGCAGTCAYGAGTTGCTCAGGAACTTTCCGACAACATCCTAGTCAGGGAAGACCCAGAGGAAAGAGCGGTCCCACGCGGGAGGTCTCATTTTCTATAGAGTTCTGCGTGGAGGAGCCTCAGAACAGCCGGTGGAGACAGGATACAACCAGGGCATTTAGGAGTTTGTGCCCC